GGTTGACTTTGACAGAGTCAAAATTGATTCAGTTGACTTTTATTCAAAAAGGTTCTCATATTTAATTCATATTAATTATTATCATGATTTATTTCAGTAAATCATTTTAAAGTTCACTACATAACTAATTTCTTTATTTATTCTTGATTTGGGTCTGTACTCATGTTCTCAATCAAGACCACACAAATACTCAACATATTGGATTTATCTCTATGAGATTTATCCAGATTAAGATATTGGATATCAAAACACATTTCATTTCGGCCCAAAGCCCAATAACTATTTATTTTAATCGAAAAAAATTTGACTAATTGAATATTTATTCATTAAAAATTTTAGGGTATGTTTTGGGGCGTTACACGAAATATTTTGACAATGAAGCTTTGAGTGCTACTCCTTTGAATGATAGATTTTGATCCCTTTTGATCTCCACTGCACAAGAAAAGTTAGACATTTCATAAGTGAGTAGTTTACCTCGAAGTGCGTCATATGTTATTGTATTGTAATCTCGGCCTTCTTTGATAGGATTGAATGTAGACTTCCATTCCGGTGTGAGACTTCGAAGGATTTTTCGAACGAGAACATGATCCTCATAATGCTTCCCAAGTGTATCCAAATTTGAGATGATAGTTGAAAATCTCTCGAACATGCCATCTATTGTTTCATTTTCCATCATCATGAAAAACTCATACTCATGGGTGAGCAAGTCGATCTTTGAGTCCTTCACTTGACTTGTTCCTTCATATGTGACCTCTAATTTGTTCCACATCTCATTTGCCGTCTTGCACCTTGAGATTTTCCGATAGTCATCCGGGTTCACGGCACAATATAGAAAGTTGATGGCCCTTGCATTTAGTTGCATCTTCTTCTTGTCATTTGAGGTATATTCGGTCTCTAGCTTTGGAACAAGAACCCTGTCAACAATCTTGGTGGGAATCGTCTCGCCATGCTTGATCACCATCCAAGAATCATAATCATTTGATTGGATGAATATTCTCATCCTCTCTTTCCAATAAGCATAATTTGTGTCGTCGAAGAGTGGTGGCCTTGTCGTGGATTGTCCTTCGGCAACTCCGGGTTAAAATGTTCTTCCGGCCATGATCTTTTTAAATTTTCAGCAGTAAAGCTTTGAAAATTCCTCGCTCTGATACCACTTGTTAGACGCCTCGCACACCTCTAGAGGGGGGGGGGTGAATAGAGGTGTTGCCCAAAAGACCAGTTTTTTTGCGCGGAAACGTTCTTCACGAATATTCAATAAAATCAATGCACCATAAACAAAGTAAAGTGAAGGATAAGAGCAATGCACACACGATATATACTGGTTCGGCCTAAATGCATACATCCAGTCCCCGAAGCAATCGTGCCCAGGCCTTCACTAACCCGTCAAACTTAACGGAGTTTGACAATCCGAATACAACTCGAGAACTTGATTTCACAAGCCTCTTATCTTACCACCGAAGTTTTGATTTCACAGAACTCAGGATTTCTTCCACCTAACGTTTGATTTCACAAACCATTAGGATTTCTACCACTTGGTGTAATCCCAACACCAAGAATACAAATCCCTTACAATAAAGTAAGAAAACCAACCGCAACCGAGTAATTCTCCCAACACGGAGTAGATTGTTGAAAATACAATGAAGTCCTTTAGAATATGGCAATATCTCTCAAAGACTCAAGCAATGAGGAAAAACTCAAGCAAGAAACGATTTAGCAATAAAAAGAATTGCCTTGGTTGGATATAAGGAGGGGATTGAGTAGAATCTCTTTGGATATTCAAAGGATATATTTTTCAAAGTGTTCTCTTCAAGATAATCACGAAGAGGGTTGTTTATAGAAGTTAGGGAGTGGATAGAGATGAAAAGAATTCAAAAAAACTAGCCGTTTGGTAGTTGAAACTGTCGACTTATTCGAATAACTCAAGAACTATTCGAATAGTTTGGATCAATCGCGTGGCTTGAAAAACCAGTTCCTATTCGAATAAATGGTTATTTATTCGAATAAAACAGGTTAATTTCAGTCACAGGAAAGATCACGACTTTCTCGAATAAACTAAAGATTATTCAAATAGAAAGGCAACTTCTCCACACAAAGGCTGATCTAAAATGAGTTTTAAAGGTAAGATGATAAGGGAATGAACCTTAGAGATGCCATACTCTTTAACACAAAATCTAAGACCTAAAACACTACCCAACTAAGGAAACAACCTCTTCGGTCTCATTCCTTCCACCGATGCTCAAGTCCCTTCTTCACGGACGGATATGAACATGTTGTAGCTTTGATTCTTAGCCTTGATGAACAAAATGATGATGATATTTTGTCACTCTTTTGTCATTATCAAAACCTAAAAGACGATGAACAAAGGACAGTGCAAAAATACATATTCATGATAACACATTGTCCAACAAAATAGGCTCCAACGGACCAAAACATTTAAGGGGTTATTGGCACAATTTGTGGTATTTGATTAAATTTGAATCTGCTAAAATTCACCTAGACAGCGATGTCCTAGTCTTGGACATCCTTGTTCTAGGCTTGCGTTTTGAAAATTGGGAAGCAACGGTCAGGCCAACTGCGATGTCCAAAACTCCTACATCGCTGTTTTGGCTGTTGACTTCCAAACAAGAAAAGTTTTAGCCTTAAATTTCTTCCAACGGTCAGGTCCCTACATCGATGTTCAATACTTGAACATCGTTGTTTAGGTCTGACTTTAAAGGTGGAGTTTTTGCCTGACAGCGCTGTTGCTGGGTCAACATCGCTGTCCAAAAACTTTCTGCCAATGCACTATAATTTTGGCTTAGGTTGGACATCGCTGTAGGGAAAGCTACATCGCTGTTCCAGATGTTTCTGGGAACCCAACCTTAGCTCAATAGCGATGTCTAATATCCAACATCGCTGTTGGAAGACTTAACGCAAAACCATGGTTTTCAGCTACCCAAGCCAGAAAGCGTTGTTAGTTATACCAACATCGCTGTTGGGCTAGTTTAGCCAGACCCATGGTTGGTTTAGTCATGCCGTTAGCCGATGTCAAAAATGTAAGTTCTCCAAAATAAAAAAACCAAGTATTGAAAACATTTGTTTATTGCATTTTGCTAAGAAATCAAGTAAAACATCTTAAGAACCACGTCATTTAATTGAAAACCACGGCTAACCAAGTTTGTGCCGTTTCACATGGTTTTCACTAACCAAAGACGGAAGGTGGTTTTTGAAGCGTTTTGTTGGAGAACTATTTAAATATGCCCAAAAGTAAAAACCAATCATAAAAAGTTGAAAGCCACTTGGTTGGTTCGGACGCCAAAAACCAACGCCAAAAACGGAAAGCCGAACGCCGGATTCCGAAAGCCGAACGCCGGATGGCTTGGTTTTTGATTTGAGCGAACTCCAAGTGTTTTTAGGCATGTTGAAAACTTGTGAAAAACATTTTTGAATTTGTAAAAGGTATTTTGATGAAATGAGCCTAGAGAGCCAAGGTTTGAAAGTTTGTGTCTGTCTTGATCACATTAAGACCGACTCAATACAATTCTAAATCTTCGTTCTGGTTCTTGGTTCTTGGTTCTCAAATCATCATGCCATGTTCCTTCGCCTTGGTTTTGTTCACTTTAGCCTTGTTATGCCACGACGGTTTGGCTTTATCAAAACCTGTCATAAAACGAACACAGTTTAGTATGACGTAGGCGTAACCCGTGTTCCAACAGGATGTGGCCCAGGCTGAGACCCGGGAAAACGCCACATCGGGCTCGAAGATGAAGAGGAGGATTCGAAACCCGCACCACACCGTCAGAAGAGACACCACGAGTGTAACTTCATTATTGGAGGGAATACTGGCGGAGATTCAGCCACGAGCCGGGAAAAGTGGGCCAATGCGGCGATGGTCAACAAGGTGCTGGTCCGAGAAGGTAAGAAGCTGAAAACTGAGCCAATTGTATTTTCTAATGTTGATCTACCAGAAACAGGGGTCCCCCATAGGGACGAACTGGTGATTACTATTGATATAATGGACTTACTGATCCATAAAACCCTTGGGGATACGGGAAGCTCCATTAATATCATGTATATGGATACGTATAAGGCTCTTGGTTTGACAAGGGATGAATTATCACCCATCAAAACTCCACTGACCGGGTTCACTGGTGACTCTACACTATGCCAAAAAAAGGTGTGAGACAACTATTGATTAACTACTGTTTATGGAAAAACAGTAGTTAAAAAAATCAAACTACCGTTTGTTGTTGTTGGCTACAAAAGTAGTAGTCTAGCTACAATGTTTAAAACTATTTTTAAAGTTTCGAGAAACAGTATTGTAATATTAGTTGTCTGTGTCATATCAAAATTTAGTTTTTGTTATCACAATTGTCAATAATAAGTTAAGAATACTCTTTTTAAACAGTAGTCTTGTTATTCAGTCTAGAACTGTTTTCAAAGTAATGAGAAACAATAATCTATTGCTAGTTGTCTGTGTCATATAGTATTTTTGGCACTATTGTGTATAACAAGAATACAATACTCTTTCTTAACAATAGTCTAGATACTTAGCCAACAATTATTTTTAAAGTTCATAGAAACGGTAATCTATTAGTAGTTGTCTGTGTCATATCAAAATATGGTTTTTGTTTCCACAGTTGTCTATAATAAATTAAGAATACTAATTTTAAACAATAGTTGGGCTATAAAGCCTAGAACGTTTTTTAAAGTTATGAAAAACAGTAATGTATTACTAGTAGTCTGTGTCACACGGGTTTTTTTCACAATTGTCTAGAATAAGTTAAGAAAACTCTTTTAAAGAGTAGTGTGGATAGTAAGCATAGAACTGTTTTTAAAATTATGAGATATAGTAATCTATTACTAATTGTCTGTGTCATATGATTGTTTTTCTAGAGTTGTTTATAATAAGTTAAGAATACTCTCTTTAAACGGTAGTTTAGCTATTAAGTCTCAAACTTTTTTTGAAGTTCAAAGACACGATAACCTTCACTACAATAAATATGTGTATGCCATCTAACGTTACTTTCGTAATTTTGGGCGAAACTTTAGACAACAATCAAATAACCGCTGTTTAAAACAATTACTACGTATCATTTTTAAAAAATAAACACTTTTATTGAAACAAAATAAAAAGTACATGGACAGGCTGTGTAATGTCCCGCTACACACAAAGGGAATTGGGAACCCATACAATCAATCAATCTCACTCATAAAAGAAAAAAAGCAAAAAGAAGATGGCGAACCAGTCAGCTACAAGGTCCACTTGTTGGCCGAGATAACCCAAGTTCATCCAAATACCCCAACTGAAAGGGTCAAGAAGAGACAAAGGGCAGCCTACCAGTAGGACCTAATTGGAAAAATAAACATATAACTCGGCTCAAAATCAATTGGTATTACCTCCAAGAATGAGGTAAAACTGAGGACCAACAGGAGGAATCAACACCCACGCTGTCCATATCCATACTCCAATTTCCAAGGAGGACAACTTAACTCCAAAGTGACCCCACTCTGCCATACAAACCCCTCCCCTAGGTCTACGGCCAGAGTGTCCCCTAGGTATTTGGAAAGCGTCCCCAACCAGACGAGGCACAAGTTCACTAGGTTGTCCCATAAGCCTTCATCTACTATTGCCCTCGATTGAGTTCAGAAACAATACGTAGATAGGCAAGACACCAGCGAAAACAACCTCCCAAACCCGAGAAAAAGCCTAGTTAGCCAGAATAAAAACTTCATAGCCAAGATAGCCCTAGTTCTTCGAAAACCCCAACCGAAAGGGTGAAGAAGATCATCAGGCAGCCTGCTAGCGTGACCAAAAGCAATGATAAACATAAATCCCAGCTCCAAATGAAATGGTAATACCTCCACACATGAGGCAAAATCGGGTGGACTTGAAGGAGAACCTGCCCAAACAAGGGTAGGCCACCAAGAATGAATTCAGCTCCATTATGCTGCCCACAAACTGCCCATCAATTCCATTTCATTTCCAAAATCCACACACTGATTCAAGGCACACAAAGCAGCAGCATTCATCTTAAGGCAAACTCAAGTTGCCATAAGTTTGATCATGCTAGGCAGCCCCTCACAGTTCCAACATCAAAAACAACCAGTTCATCATCATTCCAGCCCCTGGAAACCAAAACAGCAGTGCCCAAAACCAAAACAACAGCAGCATCCAATGGTTTTCCAGCCCTATTGAGCTCCAATTTCCAGCCCCTGGTTCCAGCTTCTTCTCCAGCAAAAATACCTCAAAGACCAGCTGCATGACACGCCAAACCATGTCCCCAAACCTTAGTCACGCAGAAGTAAAACAGCACTAATTACTATCCATTCCAGCAAGGTAAAGCCTCTGTTTTTAGAGGCATAAGAACCAAAACTCAGCCTGGTTTTAATCCCAGCACGAAGTTCACAGGTCCCTCACAATCAGTTCACCATAACGAGAAGCAATGGTAGAAAGAAGAGAACCACAACAAGTGCCAAGTGTGCCCAGGAATAGCATGCCACAGATTCTACACTTTCCTTCCAGCATTGGTCGATTCCTCCACCCCAAAACATCCCTAGTTGGCTCTTCCATAACCATTAGCGGGGGTAGGGGGACAACATGCCATTATGCAGTTGATAGGTGCAGCACCATAGGCAATGTAATTCAGTGGCCGTTCTTCATGGAATTGAACCCCAGAACTCAATAAATTCATCCCTCAAAACATGGTTCACAAAATATCCCATAGTTCTAATATCAACATTAAAACAAACAAAATGACCAGTAACAGACACAAACCGCTTCAATTGATGTTGAAATCCAACTCCATAGAGTGGAAGAGGATTACAAACCGCTCAAAATCTCAGAAAATTAACCATCAAAGTTGCCCGGATCAAATTGAATCAAAGATGCAAAACCGCGATTGAACAGTGTCGGGCATAGCGTTGACCTTCGTTTCTTCCAAAAAACTTCTCCAAAATCAGCGAAATAACCTCAAAGCAAAGGAGATGAACAATGACGAGTTGGGCGTTGACTTCCAATTCGCATAGCTTCTTCTCACAAAATCCCAAATTAAGTTCATTATCATGTGCGCCAGCATGAAATTTACCCGGGTTCCAAAAATCAAATTAAATGGAGCAATCAATCAATGGAAGAATGGAAGGGAAGAAGGCAGTGAACAGTGTTCCGCGACACGGCCCAGTGTTCAACATATGGCTGTGATTTTGAAGAAGACAGGAAATTATCTCTATCTGAGAAGAGATATTCTGAATGGGACTCCATAGACCTAATTGCGAAATTGGGGGCGCATATTAGGCGGGCAATGGAAAATTTGGAGGGACTCTAAAATTTGAGATGAAATTAAAAAAAATTTAGAATCAGCAATCTAATTTTTGAAACAAAAAGGTTTTTTGGTCCATAAATTTTCTCAAACTTATGTACCACTTTAAATTAGGGGTACATTTTTTTGTTAATTGAATTTCTGTTTTTGTCCGATTTGATCTGATTAGGTCCGATCTGATGCATTTAAAGATTATATCAGGCAATTATGACACAACCTATACAAGTAAATAGATTCCTGTGAAAGTTTGATATGATCTTATTACATTCAAAATTCATTTGATCCGATTAGATCTGTTTTGGTCTAATTTAATCTAATTAAGTCTGATCTGATGTTTTTAAAGAACTAGGACATAACGTATACAAGTAAATAGATGTTTTTAAAGATTTGATCTGATCTTATGGGATTTGAATTTGATTTGATCCGATTAGATCAATTTTGGCATGATTTGATCTAATCATATCGATCTGATGCATTTAAAGATTATATTAGGCAATTGGGACACAACATATACAAGTAAATAGATCTTCTTTGAAGATTTGATCTGATCTTATTATATTCGAATTTCATTTGATCAGATTAGATCTGTTTTGGCATAATTCAATCTAATTAGGTCCGATATGATCCTTTTAAAGATTACATAAGGAAAATAGGACACAGCCTATATAAAAGTTTAGATTTTCTTGGTAGATTTGATCTGATCTTATTGGTTTTGAATTTGATTTGATCCGATTAGATCTGTTTTTGTCTAATTTGATCTAATTACGTACGATCTGATGCATTTAAAGATTAGATCAGGGAAATATAGGACAGAACGTATACAAGTAAATAGATCTTTTTGAAGATTTGATATGATCTTATGGGATTGGAATTTGATTCGATCCGATTAGGTCTGTTTTGGTCTAATTCGATCTAATTTTGTCTAATTCAATGCGTTTAAAGATTAGATCAGGCAAATAGGACAAACAACCTATATAAGTGAATAGATTTCCTTCAAGTTTTAATCTCATCTTATTGGATTTGAATTTGATTCGATCCGATTAGATCTGTTTTGGCCTAATTCGATCTAATTAGGTCCGATTTAATGTGTTTAAAGATTAGATCAGGAAAATAAGACACAACCTATACAAGTGAATATATTTTCATATTGGATTTGATTGAATATGCGCAAGCAATAAGATCTGATTGAAATTGATTTGATCTTATCTTATCTAATCTGATTAGATCTAATCTTGACTAATCTAATTGGAATAGATCTAATCTGCTTGATCTAATTGCAGTTATATTTAAAACTCTTTTAATTTAATTTGATTTAATCTAATTTGATGATATATGATTTGATTAGATATCATCTAAACAACATATAAACATGTTAAATTGAGATGTAGTTATCTAATTTGGTTTAATATTATCTGTCTGTGTTTTTTTGAAATACAATAAGTATAAACATGTAAAACTGAGATGAAGTCTAATAATTTAACCAAAAATTGAGGGAATACATAATTTTTTGATGAAATGAATTGAAAGGTTAATATACCTTGAATCTATATTGTGTTCCCCTTACGCAGATTAGTAAACGGGGGTCTCGCTGCCCGGTCAGCGAGTCAGGGGGTCAAGGGGGGCAATGCCCCCTTGCTTGGGGGGCGGAGTCGCCCCCGGCCCGATAGTATGCTATGTTGTATTGGGCTCTGTGTGTCTTTACGCTTTCTGTTTACTTTGATTACTCAATTATATTACGCTTTCTGTTTACTTTATAAAATATTTCAAAATATTATTTTATTTAAGTAATATACAATATATATTTTATTTAATTTTAGATCAAAGATTTAAAATGATTGATTGCAAAAAGTAAAAATTGAACAAATATTCAAAGTCTAAAAACTAAAATATTTTGCATCCTCTTCTCCAAAGCAGCGGTACATTTTGACAACTTCCTCCTCAAAATTTAGAATTCCTCTTCACTTTTGTTTTCAAAATCACCTCAAATTTCATATTCCCTCCTTAAATTTTCAGAATCCCTCTTGCGTGCACCCAACATAATGGAGGCGAGGTTTCTCTCTCTAGGAAACACGAATGAACAGTGCCACGAGGCTGTTCATCGCCATTTCTCCTTCATTTTGAGCTCTTTTCTTCTGATTTTTGGAACTCTGGCTTCTCTTACAACGGATGATTCCATATTAGAGGTTGAATCGCTGATTTTGTGGCTGAATTATGAATAATCGAAGATCAACGCTTGGGATGGTACTGTTCACTCGCGAACTTTGCAGCTTGATTCACGTCGTTCCAAGAACTTTTGATGGCCAATTTTCTCAGATTACGGGCGATTTGTGATCTTCTTTCAAGGTATGAGAGTGGATTTCATTCCCGTTTGATTTTTATTCGATTTGTGGATTTTGAGACTAGGTTTACCCTGTTCATTTTGCGACACTAGAGTGCGATTGGCACTGGTCCATGCCTGATTTTGGGTCCAGCTTTTGTGGGTTCTCATTGACGATGTTGAGGACTTGTTTGTGATGATTTTGGTCTTGCGGTCCAGCAAACTTGTTTGTTCTTCATTGATGAATGACTTTCTGGATTTGTACTACTAGGCATAATTAGGCGTGTGTTTTTGTTATTGTTTCCTTCTAGTTGGGTTGTGTATTAGGGGTGGTGTGGATTCTTCTTGCTGTGATGAGGGGGTGGAAATTTTCTAGGCAATGTCATAACATTTGGTACAGGTTTGCCATTTTACCCTAGCCCAGCCCCGATTTCCGATGGAGTAGCAACGATGTACAATACCGTGCATGGGTAAGGAGAGCGACGGTTTGCAGCGACCTGAAGATGATTTAACAGCATGTCCAGCCCTAAAGTCCGAAAAAAGTAGCATCCATGGTTGTTTCTTGGTATAATCTTCAAATTTGGTTTGTTCTTTATATGATTCGTCCTTGATTAGGTTTGATTTTGTGTTCATCTTCTATTTTAGTACAATTTCTTATGTTTAAGTGCTTCAAAAGATCTGAAATTGGTTTTGGTTGTGTTGAAAGGTTGGTTTGATTTTATTTTGAATCTAATATGAGTTATGTGTGTTGACTTTGGGCTTTCAATTGTCACTTTAATCACAGGATTTGTTTGATTATTAAAAGAATGAATATATTAATCTCATTTTGTGGTACCATCTCAGAGTTTTCATTTCTTTTGCTTCTTTAGGCTCCTGTTAAGGTTCTTGTCATACTCATTAATGAAGATAAAGTGTGAGAAGTGGGGCTTGGGGAGAACTTACGAGTCCGAGTATCTGGGATTGAGGAAGATGATATCTTATCAGGCTCTGTTCTATGCTGTGTTGGTAAATACCATTCAATTATTTACTTTGCTTAGTCTACTTTTTCAATTTTCAAAGCTTTTTGTGTGGACATGGTTTGCTCAATTTGTCCATTGTTAAGCTTATTTGGAAGGGGTTGATCAAGTTATCATTATGTTCTTTTATACCTATATAATCCTGTCTCAGTTTTTACTGAAATGGATCTGTGTCTTGGTGCAGTAAGGCCAGTCCCTGCTGTTACACGGTTTGTTGCGCACTTGTCAATCAAGGAGTTGCTGGATAATGTATGAATTAAAACTTAGCATTTTTATTCTCTTATTTGCTTGTTATAAAACTAGGTTTATTGTATGTCGCATTCAGGTTGGCTTCTTAAGAGCACGACTTCTGCTATGTGGTCTTCTTATATTGTGCAAATAGATGAACTTCAATTGTTAAATAGATGTATATGAACTACTTTGGAGGTATTAAGCTAGCAAATAACTCCAAAAAGTTTCAATTATTTTTATTATGAACTCTTTCTTGTTATCAACAAACATTCATTTTAATTATTCAATGGTATGCAGATTGAGGACTAAAGTGGATGCTTTACAAGAAAATATTGCTAGAGCAAGAGATGTATTCAGAAATGTTATTGAGGGGACAAATAACTAAATTAGGCATGCCGAATGGACAATTAGAGTGTGATTTTAATTATGTAAATATTAAATTATTGTTTGTTATTTAGACTTGGGTTGTATGTATTTAGATATTATTCAATATATTCTACATTTTAGAATTTATTTTTGTTTCTTGATCAATATTTTGGAATTGAAATAAATTTTATTTATTAAATATAAATGTAAATTGAAATATAGTAGTCTTTCAAATAGCTTTAGAATGTATTAAAACAATTTTCTAAATTTTTAAAGGACAACTACACAAACCTGTACTGTTAATAAGCGTTAGACAATAGAAATAAACAGTTGTGTGAAATACAACAAATATAGTTGTTTAAAGATTACAAATACAACACAGAATAGCAGTTGTCTTATGCAAAAATATTTAGTTGTCTTTGGAGCAGTAGTCTGATTCACAATCTCACTACTGTGTAAAAAGATAGTTTGAATATTTCATGGACAACTACAAAAAAGCGTAGTGTTATTGAGCACTATACAAGTGAAAGAAACGGTTGTTTAAAATACAACAAAATTAGTAGTCTACATTTTAGAAATATAACACAAAATAACAGTTGTCTGATGCTATTTTTGTTTAGTAGTCTTCCAAGCAGCAGTCTGATATATCTTTCAACCACTTTTGAAATTAGATGTCTATATTGTTGAACGACAACACCACGCAATAGGAGTCTGAAGTCGGAAACAACAGTAATATTCATTATAAATAGACAACGAAACATCACAGTTGTCTTTAACTCTAGAAAACAGATGTCTTACTCATACGAGGACAACTTCAAAAAATGTACTCTGAAACATCACAAAATAGGTGTTGTCAACCGTATTACACAATTGTTTTTAAACAGTAGTCTGTAAATATATCAGACAGCTACTCGGAAGACTACTGAAACTAGCACAGTTAGACTACTAAAAAGAACAGTTGTCAGCATCTGTTTTTGACGTAGTGCTATTGAACCGGAGGGGGTAATAACCCTCCCGGTCGAAATAGGGGATACTAAGGCCACCCGAAAGTTGGACATGGAATTCGTTGTGGTGAGGATAATCTCCAACACAAACATCATTCTGGGCAGACCCGGATTGGAAGATTTAGAGTGTGTCATCTCACCTCGTCATCTGTGCATAAAATTCCCAACTCCCCATGGAGTTGGAATCGCCAGGGGATCCTAGAGAGTGTCCCGGGCGTGGTATTTGAAGGCAACCAAACAGCCTATCAAGTACGACACCCAAGTGGGAGAGGTGACTGCACAGCTCTTGAGGGCAGAGGAGAGACGTCCCAGAGTAGAAGTTGCCGGCGACATTGAGGAAGTTGAACTGGAGCCAGGCACACCAGGGAGGTTAGTCAGAATTGGCAGGGGCTGAACTCAGATCACGAGTAATCTTAGTCCTTAGAAGGTTCAAGAAGGTCTTTGCATGGAGTCCAGTTGATATGCCAGGACTGGATCACAAGATTGCAGTTCATCGCCTTAAGGTCATGCGAGATGCTAAACCGGTGAATTAGAAGCGAAGGCATTTGTCGCAGGAAAGGAGGGATTTCGTAAAGAGGGGGGTAGCAACTTTGCAGAACATTGGTCACATCCGGGAGGTGCAATACCCGGATTGGTTGGCAAACGTATTTCTGGCGCCCAAGCCCCCTTCGTGGAGAATGTGCGTCGACTACATAGATTTGAACAAGGCCTGCCCCATGGATTCGTTCCCTCTCCCCAACATTGACCAGATGGTGGATGAGACTGCCGGATCAGAGTTAATGAGCTTCATGGACGCTTTTAGAGGCTACCATCAGATTCGGATGTACCCGGCTGATGCTGAAAAGACGAGTTTCATGACCCCGGAAGGGCTGTACTGTTACTTGGTGATGGCCTTTGGACTGAGAAATTCCGGGGCGACATACACCCGGATGGTTTCTCAAGTGTTCAAGGCTATCCTAGGGTGAACCATAGAAGCATATGTCGATGACATGATTGTCAAGTCCAAAGAGGCCCGAGACCATGTCCGGGACCTTGAGGAGGTCTTTGAAATCATGATGAAGGTAAATTTGAGATTGAACCTGAAGAAATGTACTTTTGCTGTGCAGGGTGGAAAATTCCTTGGGCACATGGTTAGCCGGAAAGGGATTGAGGCGAACCTGGAGAAAGTTAGGGCCATCATGGAGATGGAACCCCCGAAGACAGCAAAAGAAGTTCAGCGGCTGACCGGAAGATTGGCGGCTTTGAATCGTTTCCTTTCAAAGCTGGCAGAGAAGGCACATCCATTCTTTACGGTAATCAAGAAGAGGGCGACCTTCGAGTGGACGCAGGAATGTCAAGAAGCATTTGAAGAACTGAAGAGATATCTGGAAAGTCCGCCGGTTTTATCTAAACCAGAACCTGGAGACATCCTGACTCTATACTTGGCAATTGCAGACTGTGCCATAAGTACTGTGATTGTGAGGGAAGAGAATGGGGCCCAATATCCGGTTTACTACGTCAGTAAGACTTTGAGAGATGTAGAGTTAAGGTATTCCCATCTAGAGAAGGCCATGTTAGCGGTCTTCTTGACAGCGAAGAGATTAACCCCGTACTTTCAGGCTCACCGTATTATTGTGCTCACCAACGAGCCTTTGGCATCACTTACCCGGAGCCCGGCGGAATCCGCCCGGATGACCAAATGGGCGGTCTTCATCAGTGAGTATAATGTGGTGTTCAGGCCGCGCCCATCGATCAAAGGGTAAGCACTCGCTGACTTCCAAGTCGAGTGTACTGCCAGGGAGATGACAAGAGCACAGGTTGATACCCGGGTAGAGGATGACTGGTGGGTAATGAGCATCGATGGATCTTCTGGGTCTCGATCTTGTGGAGCAGGTATTGTAATGATTACTCCGTAAAATTTCCAGATATATGATGCTGTCAGATTTCAGTTCCGCGTATCCAACAATGAAGCTGAATACGAAGCCCTGATCAACGGACTGAAGATTCTTGGCAAGCTGGGAGTGTCCAAGGTTCAAGTATACAGTGACTCCCGACTAGTGGTGGGACAAATCACGGGGAAGTTTGAAGCAAAGGAAGAGAGGATGAAAAGGTATCGAGACTTGTCCTTGGAGATGTTGGGAAGGTTTGAGTTTAAGCTTGAACATATACCCGGGGCCCAGAACGAGGAAGCTGGTGTTCTATCCAAGCTCAGCGCAGAATCACCAGAATACATAAGCCGATTGGCAACTGTCGAGGAGCTGGCAGCTCCGAGTCTCAACAGAGATGAAACGTTTTGGGTATCAGCTGATCCCCCGGAATGGTTGGACAGGTTGGCCAGATACATTGAGGACGGTGTAGCCCCGGAAGATCCCCAAGAAGCCCGTTTGCTGCGGATGAGGGCACCCACCTACAAGGTGGAGGATGGAGTCCTTTATAAACGGTCTTACAACGGTGTTCTGCTCCGCTGTCTTAGGGCAGCAGAGGCAAAGGTACTGATGGAGGAAATACACGAGGGAGTATGTGCTGCACATCAGGGTCCATACTCTATCTCTAGAAGGGCGATTATCCAGGGATATTTCTGGCCAACGATGAGGAAGGATTGTGAGGAGTATGTGTGCAAGTGCCCAACTTGTCAACAATTCCAGAGTATGCCCGGGAGGCCAGCCACGAACTACACGCCCATCAGCTCCGTGATTCCCTTCTCAAGATGGGGGATTGATATTGTTGGAGCCCTGCCAAAAGGAGTTGGACAGGCAAGTTGGATAGTGGTGGCCATTGACTACTTTACCAAGTGGGTGGAAGTTGAACCACTTACTGGGATAACTGGAAGGCAAATGATCGATTTTGTGGGAACCAACATACTTTGTAGATTTGGAGTCCCGAAGCAGATCATATCTGACAATGGAACCCAGTTTGAGGGAGCAGAGTTCCAAGACTTCCTCAAAACTTAGGGAATTCAGCATACGAAAGTGTCTGTAGCCTACCCTCAGGCTAATGGACAGGTGGAGAACGTCAACAGGACAATCATAAGTGGAATAAAGAAGAAGCTACTTTCGGAAGGAAGCAAATGGGTGGATGAATTGCCCAGAATCCTGTGGACGTACAGAACAACTTCAAGGAGGGCTACAGGTGACACTCCCTTCAGCTTAGCTTATGGTTTTGAAGCCCGGGCTCCAGCTGAGACAGTGATCCCTACCAGGAGAGAAATGGGATATGACCCGGAAGTGAACGAACAAAATCAGGCCATAGAGTTAAATTTCATAGAAGAAAGAAGGGATGAGGCACGAATCCGGGAAGAGAATTATTGACGCCAGGTGAAATCTTACTTTGACAGTAGGGTGAAACCGAGGGCGTTCCAGGTGGAAGATTACGTCCTGAGGAAGCGAGAGAAGAGTCAACCAACTAAAGGTGGAAAGCTGGCTAAGAAATATGAAGGACCTTATATCATCAAGGCCGTTGTTCACCCAGGTACCTACAAGTTGGTGACTCCAAAGGGAAAAGAAATTGATAGGACATGGAATGTAGAGCTGTTGATCAAATTTTATCAGTAAAATCATTTTGTAAAGCGCTCTATCTTTGAATTTATGAGGTTTTGTTTCAATAAAATTTTCTTTCCTTTGAAGCCAAGTGCATTTGCATTTTCATTGCTCTATAAATTCCTTCAAAAAAGAGAGGGGGAGAGCACTCCCGGGCGATATAGGCCCACATTACAGGGAGGTAGATAAGTTTATGCCACCTGCTAAAAATAGGGGGGGTAGATAAGTTAATGCCCCCGCGGAGATAGATAAGTTTATGCCTCTGTCAAAAATGAAAGAAGGGTTGGGATTGGACTTTGAGGGCCTTTACAACCTGGAATTCGGGAAGAACAGCAAGCAGACTTCGAGGGCTGAAGCTTAGTACTCCACCAGCACAGATCAACCAAGCAAGCAAACTTCGAGGGTTGGATCTCAACTGATCCAAGGTAGATAAGATAATGCCTTAACCCGGAGGAAAGGAGGTCAGGGGTAGGTGAGGTAAGTTCCCATGGCATGTCCAAACCCCGGGGGATGAGATTGTATACAGAGAATAAAATATGTACTTGCATTAGTAAAAGTGCAAAGAAATAAACATTAAGGACCACATTGATGGGCCAAAGTTTACATTTTTGGTTCAAATTATGGTTCCTAATGAGATAAAAAAACCAGAAAATGGGGAGTTCATCGATTGCTAATCCGGAGGTTGTATCTTTGATTTACAATGTTAATTCCTAGTTTGAAATTGAAGGACATTCCTTAGTATGGGACGCAGGAAAAACTCCTAGACCAAACAAGTGATTGCCTCTTGAAATAAAACAAGGAGAAGAAATTTAATTTGCAGGGAGCTAGGCACTGAAGGAGGGCCTATTGCATCCATGCAGTCAACAGGAAGGAGGTGGGGGCCCCTTCCATGGGCTCCTTCCATTCGACGAGGGGCACGTGGCGGAATCAGTCGCCTCCTCTATGTCATAGTCTTCCCACGTCCCAGGACGGGGAGCTGGTGCTCCCAATGAAGAACCATCATTGAGAGACTTCAGCAAGTTTGGAGAAGCAGTCCGGCTTTCACGTGAAGGTTCCGCCTTGACAGACGGCAAAGAACGCCCAAGTTTAGTCCTGCGCATCCTCTAGTACAAGGCGAGGTCTTGGAGGGTCATAGAGTCCCAGTCTATCCTCCCGGATGGAAGCCTAGGTGGACTAGGAGGAGATGGTGTAGGAAGATGAGGTGCCGGATAAAGTCTTGAGAACTTGTCAGGACTCAACCCAGCCATGTCGTTGGATTGAGCTGGAGAGGCGAAGAAATCATCATCCGAGACGACTTCACTCTGAGATTTACTCGCCATGGCGAAGAAATCAGAAAGGGATGAACTAGCAGCAAACCACCCTTTCCCGTTTATAGTGGAGGGGGAAGGGATGGTTGGGAAATAATGAATGTGGTTAAAATACGTGAAATGGGGAAGTAGTGATTGGTGAATGAAGCGGTTGAAGATTCCCAATGTTTGACTAGGGTTTTTCGCCACTTAAGTGCATGGGCCGGTTGATTGGGCCCATCTGCACTTTGGGAAAGATGTCATCCTTGGAAGGTAAGGAGTTAAAATATATATAAACTTCTACTCCATGCAGATGGCGGCACGCACAACATAATTATATTAAATGACAGGAGATAAAGGTTTTTTCCATTAAATAGCTCAAATAGAAAATTACATTCTTTTGGGTTACAGTAATGGGCCTTGTCCCTGATCCAACAACAAAACATAAAAGAGACGGGAGATAAAGATTTTCATTAAATAACTCTAGTAGAAGATTACATTCTTTTGGGTTACAGTAATGAACTTTGTCCCTGATATACTTCTATCCTACTACTGGAAAAATCTGAAGGCAAGGCGAGTTGACACCTCGGATTTTGAAGGGGGTGCATTCGTTGACCCTTGTTTCCCTGCCTGAACCAGAAAAGAATCCCAGGGCGGGGAGGTGTGGAGAGAGCCCACCGTTCCCCTTGATGACATTCAAAAGAAGCGAAAGGGTACCAACGGGTTGGGATTGAAAGCCATTCCCCTGTGGGTACCATCCAGTCACTCCCATGAAGGCGGGCAAGGGGGACGATGAGGCATGATGGAAGGACTCAGGGCCTATTTCCGCTTATACGGAAGGTGGAGGTGTATCCCGAAAGGTTCCGTCCTTTTCCCTGCGTATAAACGGAAGCCTATTTCCTCCCATGTCATAGTCCCCCCACTCCTCAGGTGGCTGTCCATATGACTGCTGAGGGGAGGGAGAACCCTCGGAGGAAGGCCTCGCACCAGAGACCAGCCGGGAAGCTCCTGAGTGGGGATTGCGTCTCTTCTACGGACGCGATGTGCCAGGACATCTAGAAGAAACTTCCGTTCTGGCACCGTTAGGAGGGACGCTGGAACCCAAAAGAGCACCCCCTGATGCCAGTTGGGGGAGATGAGGGTGATTCTCCTCCCTGAGCAAGGGAGAAGTCACCGATTGTTAAGAGGCGAGAGAAGGCCCAGAAGAGAGTTCAGGTGTTGGGGCCCCAAGTGAGGGGAATGACAACGAAGAAGAATTAGAAGAAGAATCGGAAATAGTAAGATCAATAAAGACAACTCTAGTGGCATTATCAGCCATGTTGAGGATTTGATTGTGATTGTGAAGGGGTTCAGCCTAGCCCCTTAGATAGGCGAGTAATCCTAGAGGAGAAGTGCAAGGAACGCAGAGTCAAAGCACTTATCTGATTGGAAAAATAGTTGCAGATTCCCGAGGGAAGCTAGGGTTGTACCGTTTCATTGCTCGGCTAAGGTGATTGGGCCCGGCGTAATTAAGTTTGGCCAGCTGCTTAACGCGGTGATTAAAAAACACAACAGTACTTTGTAAACGTGGTTAAGCCCAAAGCATAGGCGGATAAAGAATTTTCGCTAAGTCCTAAAGGGAAATAAGAAGTCCAAAAGGAGAACGGTTAGATTAGCGAAAGGAGTCAACAAGGACGGAAACACATCAAGCATTGTCAAGTTGTTACTGGTTAAATATTACAGAATAGGAGTTACAATAATGGATTGAGGAATTAGGATCCCGGTTTGGCATGAGAATCCGGGGGAGGAAGAGGAAGAGGTAACCCATAGTAAGAGATGAAGTCATCCAAGGATCAGTTTTCCGGGAGACCACTCCGAACCGCCTCATAGATGCATTGTTGCATGTCAAATTTCCCTTCTTCATAAAGGGTTTCAGCACGGGCAGTCAGGGCGGCAACCTCCTCTTGATGGGCAACAATTGCCTTCTCGAGTTCATCCTAAGCAAAAAAAGGACAAGATCGAGGATGCTCACGGTTCTGCAACTATGGCAGAAGCTGATGATACAAACTCTGAAGAAAATCTGGTTTTATTTGTCAATAAACAAACACATTGTAAGGATGTGTGGGTTCTTGATTATGGAGCGTCGTATCATATTAGTCCATATAGGGAGTTGTTTTCAACTTATGAGCAGATAGACGAGGGTGATGTTTCCATGGCCAACGGAGTTGTTTGCAAGGTAGTTGGAATATGCTCCATCAAGTTGAGGACTCATGATGGTACATTTTGCACCTTGAATAAAGTTAGGAATGTTCCACAGATGACGAAGAATCTGATATCCTTGACTCGTCTTGACAGTAAGGGTTTCAGTTTTGAAGGTAAAGGTGGAGTTATGAGTGTCTACAAGGATTTGAAGGTGGTTCTGAAAGGTATTAAGCATGGTACCTTATATCTTCTATAAGGATCTGTCATTGTTGCATCATCTGAGATTCATAGAGGTGATGAAAGTCTTGATGTTGAGGTGGAGGTTCCATCTGCACGGATTGAGACTGTTGATCACCTTGAAGAATCATTTGTTTCTACGCCTCAATGAGGCAATCTGTGCCCCAGGAAGGGGATCTGGCCCGTATGGGGCAATTTGAGCCCATGAAGGGCAATCTGGGCTTCAGGAGGAGTCATCTGGATACTAGGTTGGTGTCATCTGTTTCTGTTCAGGTTCCATGAAGAGTCATTTGGACTCAAGGTGGAGTTTGCATCTGTTGGTGTTTTAGCTTGAGTTATCTGTTCCCATGAATGAGGGAAATCTATTTTGGTGTGTCACAACACTTCTGAACTCAAGTGAAACAATCTGTTCATGTCTTTT